GCTCGCTTTCGTTCTGGAAATTTCGATGTGAAAGATACGAAAAGACTTTTTCGACTACCCTATATTTTGGTTAGATGTTGCCTTGAGGCGATGTCTGTTAGTTCATTCAAACTTTTTTTTGTATGGAAGGAGCTTTCTTGGTTTCTTTCACTCATAACATTGAAGAGGTATTTCAACTTCCATTTATTCGCTTGCTAGTCAAAATTTCTTGTTTTTTCGGGACAACACCATCCAATACAAATACAATCTTGCAGTTTTCTACTAAATTTGCTTAATAGCTTCAAATTTTTATTTGCTTATTCATTTTAGTGCATGATTCTGCTCATGATAGAAATTTGAAGAGGAATCTACAAGATCATTTCAACTTATTCAAGTTTATCGCATATCTAAAAGAATGCGATTTACATAGCTATTCTTACCAACCCCCATTTCTCCCTACTTTTATACAACCTCATCTAGCTAATTTTCGAACGATTACTGATTTTTTATGGTCAAACAGAAGCAGCTCAAGCTCATCAATCGGAATCACCCAGTAGCTCATTAGATGACATCAAGCACATAGCTCAACGATCAACTCACTAATATGGTTTGAGTTGGATTGTAATCAGCAGTGGGGGTGCCTGAAGGTAACCGAGGTAACGAACTGGCTGAACTCCGGAATGTCACCTGATCAGTGGCTTCATTAGCGCTGTGAGAGAATGTATTGTAACGTGGTGACATTACGAATACTTGAGGCTAGGATTGCAGCGACAAATGCACAGTTATTGACGTAGGGAAGGGATTGCCCATTGAAATGGGAGCAATAAGGACATCAGGGAAAATTGAAAAGAAATTTGCTTTTAGCTTAGAAACAAATCTGACTGATTTGATTGATTTTGTAAGGATGCTACTGCCAAAATAAGCAGAAATCGCTGAACAATGCCAATACAAGTAAAGCTGGTCCATATTCTACCCATACATGTACCAGCATACAAGATTTTGAAATCTGATAAGTTCCGACAAACTTTTAAAGAAAACTAAGCAGGCTTTAGAAAAATTTTGAACCATAAAATAACAGTCTTTCTGCTTTTGAGGGTGTTAATTCAAATCATTGAGTAGATTCTAAGATGTGGCTAGATTTTAATATTAAAAATTAGGCGTTTGCAAACCTTTTCGAAGGCACTAGTGCAGCTAACATCCTTTTGCCATCGTAGAGAT